CCCTCTACCTCAGCTACGTCGACTTTGGAGCATCCGTCCAGAACAGCGATGTCTACGGCGACTACAATGTCACCCTCTACCACGCTCGATCCTCAGCTCACCCAGCAGCCCATCTCCAGCGGTACGTCGTCGGCAGCCTCTACTGTTTTGTTTCAGGACCAGTCGAACACGGGCGAGATCCGGGATTTGGCAGAGCAATTTCTTGCGAAGATCAAGCGGCTGGCACCGATGCAGACCCAGACCGACAATGCGGTGGTGGACCTGGAGTTGTTGCTCAGATCGCAGGGATTCAGCGAATCCCAAGGAATGGCTCTTCTTGATTCAGGTGCCTCCCACCCCTTCCGAGTGCCAAAGTCACTAGAAGAGAGAACCTCTTCGAGAAGGGTTCAGGTGCAGCTTGCGGACGGGAAGACCATCTCGTTGAGACAAAACAGCGGCGGCACACTACTCGCTGAAACCGAACAGGGTGGCACAATACTGCCGCTGGGAAGCTTGGTAAGCTCTCTGGGGTGCGAACTCCAGTGGTCAAGGAAGCGTGGACTACAAGTCCGTCATCCACGTCATGGGCTCCTCCCCACGAAACTCGTGGGCAACACGCCGGTCCTCCGGGAAGCGGAGGCGTTGCAGCTCATCTCGGACCTTGAAGAGGTGGAACTCCAGAAGTTAAAGGCCCAGACCACTGAGGGAGTGATCAAGGCGCTGGTGACGGATGAGACTCCGACAACTTGGCTGGACCACTTGGAGGAGTTTGTGGCCACGGGTAAGCGAGCATGCCTCCGGCGAATGCTCATGGACGACGAGGCTCCCATCAAGGCGGCTACGGAGGAGGAGATAGCAGTCTTGGTAGGAGTGGAGGAGAAGATCCTGCTATCAGACGAGGCGGGCGCGTTCTACTTGAAGTCTCTCCCCTACAACCGGGCTACGCGCAAGCGAATGCTGAGGACGAGGTGGATTGTGCATTTGTTCAATGGAGACGAGCAAGGACCTGAGTTTACCTATGCAGAGTCCGATGATGTTATGGTGGTCCGAATGGATGTGAGGACGTCCAAGGGGTTTGATCTCCGAACGTATGGACCCGCAGCCCGGGCTCTCTTGTGGGCAGCAGCGCGTGGACAGATCGAAGGCGTCATCGGTGCCCCACCACGTGGTTCGGAACATGGGTCAACGTTGTTCAAGAGATTGATGCTGACGTGGCTAGTGGCCAACTCTGGTGCAGTCCAACAAGCCCTGTGTGCCCCCCCATTTCACGATGGAGGCTCCAACCTGGCACCCGATCTGGACAAGCAGTGCTTGGTTGAATTTCCGTGACGAACTACGATTCATGAAGTACCACTCCGTGGCTGTGCAGGGCAACATGTACTTCTTGGCTTCAAGTTTGGAGGTGTCCCAGGGAATGAATATTGAGGAGGCTGAAATCATCACGCTCAACTACAACACCCCAGCCTCTTCGTGGCCCACGACTTTGAAGGCAGGCTTGGCCCAGTCAATGGTGAGTTGGCGCCGAAGTGACCTACGGCGACATGAAGCCACGCTCTGCAAGGTTGTGGGATCCCGGGACCTCAACGCCAAGGATTTGGCCTATTGGCAGAACCACATCAAGAACAACCACGTCCCTTATGACAAGAGGTGCCGTACATGTGTGCGTGCCAGTGCGACCGGCCGGGCCCATCGACGGTGCCTCACTCCAAGCTCCTACACGTTGTCTTTGGACATATGCGGTCCTATGCGTACTCGGGGGGAATCCCCAGATGGCAAGGGGTACCGCTATCTCCTCGTCGGCGCCTACAGCCATCCCAAGCTTGAGCTTCCACGTGATGTGAAGCTCCCTCCAGTCGAGGAAGAGGAGGAGGTAGAGCCCGAGCTGGACCCTTTCGAGGAGGAGGATATAGCACCCCGCCCAGAGGACGAGGATGACGAGGAGCAAAGGGCAATGAACGAACGCTACAAGGAGATCTACCGGGACATTGGTGATGACATCGA